GGCCAGGTAATTGCTTGAATCCAGGCTGTATAAAACCATTTTTACAGATGCATATCCTGATTACACCAACCAGCTCAGGAGCCCTAAACTTGCCTGTGATTTGTGAGGCTCTTCCAAACACAGCTGAGTGGTCACATGGTACTGACTGATCATGTCAGGCTGCTAAACCATATCTGGAAGTGGGAGAAAGATCCACTGCACTTTCTTTAAACTACTATCCTATAAGCAGTATTTGTAGTAGTGCTGCATGAAATAATGAATTTCAGGCAGTCTGTGTGCCTGTGACCAGCAGCTCCACATTTACACAGAAAACAACACGTCCTTAAAACTTACTTTTCAACAACAGTGTGCGCTCTGGAGTTTTCACAGAGCAGAAGCAGTTCCCTCCCATAAAACAAAACAAAATTAAAACCTTCAACAAAATGTAAGAATCATATCCTGAGCATCACATGCCTAGGTTTAATCAAAGAATAACAGATACACCTGCAAAAGGGCTCCAATACTTTCCTTTAGCATTATTCCACCTTTTCCTAGTCTGCTACCTGTCTCAAGAATTGCTGCAATCCCCTGAGAGACACATTGGGCTGGAAGTGCCTGAAGTCTTTGAAAATGTGAGACAAGGGAGACAATGACCTCAGAACTGCTGAGGTTTTACTCAGCATCTGAACTGGGTTTCTTAAAAGCCAATGTCCCCCATCTAAGGCTACCTGAAGACAGAGAAGTGACAGGAAAAGGGGGAATGGCTTCACACTGACAGAGGGCAGGGATAGATGGGATATTGATAAGAAATTCTTCCCTGTGAGGGTGGTGGGGCCCTGGCACAGGGTGCCCAGAGAAGCTGTGGCTGCCCCATCCCTGGCAGTGCCCAAGGCCAGGTTGGACAGGGCTTGGAGCAGCCTGGCATAGAGAAAGGTGTCCCTGCCCAAGGCAGGGAGTGGAACTGGACAGGCTTTAAGGTCCCTCCCAACCCAACTCATTTCATAGTTCTGTGATCCTGAGGTTCAATGTAAAGGAAAAATTAAAGACAGAGGTGTCTTGAAACTTCCCTGTTAAAAGCAGCACCTTTTCCCAGCCAGTTTAACAGGCACTGGTTCCAGTTCCAAGCAATGTGGGTGTGTGGGTTATCTCCTGGGACTCCAACCTGCTGGCCATGGGATGCCCAGGAGTGGGCACTCATCACACCTGATGAGGATACAGGCATTTCCAGAAACCCCCTTCCATCCACAGCGGGTTTGTAAAGCAGGTGGGGAAACCCACCCATCTCATGTCATCACCTACAGAGAAATGATGCTTCTGGCTGCTTTAAATACAGGAATATCAACTTATTAGATGTATATCTATCTCACATTTTGCTTTTGTTGGGTGTGGAGCTTACAGGGATAAGAATTCACAAATGTTAATCATTGTTTATTTAAAAATTTGCTTCAACTGATTACTAATACAAGCAAGTTATTGGAAATAATAATGAGACTATGAAAGTACTTGGTAACCTGTTTGGTAATTAAAAAAAAGCATTGTATTTAAGAAAAATTAGGAACATCACTTATACCAAAATCTTCAAGAAAGATCATGACTTGCCCAAAATACTCTAAATTAACATTACTCCTGTTCTACCTTTCTCCTGGTTACCCAGAGAATTTAAGCATCCCCCTATGCTATTTCTTGCAAGATCTTTTCGTTCCTTAAAGTCTTAAAATAAAATTTCTTTTCTTTCCAATGCCTGATAGAGCTTTTTCTCACAGGACCTCCTGCACAGGAATCCTGTACAGAGACAAAGAGCCCCATACAGAAAACCACTGCTGTGTTTAACTAAAGCTGTCGGCGCTTTTTAAAACCCATCAGAAACAGGACTGAATCAGAAACAGGACTGAACATACACTCATCTCGTGATCATTCTTCAGCTGGAGATTGAATCAGCCAGCTGACTGCACAAATGAAGATTTTCTTTAGAGAAGAAAAAGGTTATAGTTAAAGCACAAAGTTCTCAAAATTTAAAAGATGCCAAAGGAAAAGTGAACTGCTATGACTGAACTTGCCTGTGGAGGCAAATCTGAATAATATACTCAGCACTGAAAGTTCACCTCAAATATTTTAAGTTTGGCAATATTCTAAGGAACAGAAAACAATGACAGTAAGAGGCAACTAGGCTCTGCCACAATTATCTTCCCTTGTTTCACTACTCTCATTTTAGTTGGAGAAAGTCAATACCTTTGCAATTTTCTAACTTAAGGACATGTATCAATCTTTATGTTACATACTGTATTTCTACCACAGCACATTCCTTCTCTGAGGAAAAAAAAAAAAAGAAAAAGTATTATCAGTTATTTCCTGTGGGCTGGAAAGAAATCCAGCTTGAAAGGCTCACAAGAGCAATTTAATATTGGAGCAACTGCACTGTCCATTCTCTGTGTTCATTGCTCACCAGCTGAGTGAAGATCACTGGTGTACAAGGGCATCTGCTTTTCTCAGGTGGGTCTGACAAGCCCAAATTATTCCATTTCTTGTGGAATTACAAAGAAAACTGCAGCTGAGGGAAAAAAAATCCCACACAACCAAACCTCTTCCTTCACCTGAACACATCCAAATTAACTTTCAAGCAATTTAACAAGCGTGGGGTCAGCCTTTCCTCTCAGCTATTATTTATTGTATACACTGATGATGTTCTGAATACAAATTTATTTTAACTATTTGTGACAATACCATTTGGCATTACCTGATTTTATTGTTTTATTGTTAAATGGGTTTCTTCCTCAAAAAATGAACTCCAGAGACTTTAATCTTAACAAGACTTCATACATTAGAGTTCTTGCAATAGACCACTTCCTTAAAAATACATGAGGATCAAGTTTTAGAGGATTTTAATTTTGTTTCTGATGTTGTAATTTATTCTGAGGTCTAGTCCTAAAGAGATAACATGTCTTACTAGATTTAGATATGTCAGAGGTAGCAGTAATAACTCACTGTTTTCTTAACAAGAACAACCACCACTTAAACCAGACTGATGTTTTTTCTTTCTCTCCATTTTTAAAAAGAAGTTTCTTATGATGAGATATTTGTGTTTTAAATTCAGTGTAAAATATATGGACACACAAATCTCAGCTTTTCAACACTGCTGGCACTAACTAAAGACATAAACCATGACAAAAATCATCAAACTGGTAACATTTCCTCAATAGAAGTCATCCCTCTAGATAATTATTAAAGGCCTCAAAACTCCTGACCCCCAAGTACCTTTTCATCAGACACACAGCCCCAGACTGCTGTCCCCAGGTGATGCAGACATAAATGGGCTTCACAGCCAATAAACACAAGATGTTTTGGACCAAGCTGTGAGAGGAATCACATAATAGATTCTCTAAGGGCTCTTAGAGAAACTGTGTTGTGGCAACTCTCACACACCAGTGACCCCCCAAGACTGACATTTCAGCTCATCTCAGCTGCCTCAGAGCTGACATAAAAGATGTACAACCCCTGAAGTTAAAAGATCTGCCACATACAGGGCTCTGCCCTCAGACACAGGCAATCCAAACCACATTACATATTTATAACATGTATGCATGAACACACAGGTTTCCTATGCAAAACAAAACAATATCATTCTGTGCCAGGATTCCTGGGCAGCTTTTTCATGTGCTTGATGTAATCCACAGTTGGGCCATGCAGGCTCCAGATCAGCACGATGGATTCCTCAGCCAAATGGTAATTTACAGTAGTCATTTCCAGAAATAGGACACTGATGTAATGGTTACACAAGTCTTTGCTGTGCTCATTAATACCTCTGGTGTTCTGGGGTGCACAGTGTGGTACTTGTGTCCATCTATCGTTCTTATCTACAGCATTTGAAGTGATAGCAATGAGAGAAAATAGGCATGCTTTGCCTTTATTGCAGAGGCACAGATGATGGGAGGATAGGGGATAACCAGCTCCAATCAATAAATAAATGAATCTGCAAGCTGTTGATTCCCCCACACTTATTACTGTGCGTTCTACCACAAATATTCTCTTTGATGCTTACAAGAAAGATGAGCTACAAAGGCTGCAAGAATGCTTATGCCCATTACTGTCTTAATTATAAACTTGTCTGTCTATAAACAAATGAAAAATAATGTCTGTTTGTAGGCCCAGGCCAAACTCCTAGGGCTACAAAGTGAGCATTCCATTATTTTTCATTTATCATAAGCAGCATTTTATATTGCCCTGAATGTGAACACCTGCAACATTAACAACTGTGCCCAACACACATTTAGAAAACAAAGTTTCTGGAATGTGTTTTAGTTACATATATGACCTAAAACAAACCGAAGAAAAAAAAGTCATGTATAAGAGAACATACTGATAGCCTCTGGAAAATGCTCTTTATATAAAATCCTATGACTACAGTCATGGAGAAGGGATCCTGATGACACCCCAGCTACATTGACAGAGAAATAAGGAAACACACTGGAAGAGTTTAATTCACTGAATGTAATGGACACCATTACAAAACACAAAAGAAAAACTCTAAGAACAAACAATGGCATAACTTGTACACAGCTTATGCAGCTATTTCTATATTGCAGCTATTTCTATATTGCAGCTATTTCTCAGGAGCTAAGCAAAACAAAATACGTCCTAGACAGTGGTTCCTACTTTCCCTGCTTATACCAACACTTACTTTTCATAATTAAACACTTCCGTATTTTGACACATATTTTCAAATTTATTCAAAAGAATAAAGAAAACTTAATACATACTTTTATTTGTTAATACTGAGCAATTTCTTTATATATACATATATACATTTATATATATTTAATTCTGGTAGTAAACTTGGGCTTATTGTTCTTTCTGCTTTGATTATTTAAACAAATATTGCACTGAAATTTTCCAACAATGCCATTGCTCCTATAGACAGGGGTCAATACACAAAGAGAATTCTCTCTGCTCTGAATGATACCTTCATGCTTTGCACCAGCTTCTATTTTGCAACGAAGTTATCTGCTGTTTATTTTTAATCTTACCTTAAGCATAAGAAGACCTGCAGGAGTCCTGCAGACAGTGGGATGGAAAACTTCTGCTTGGCAACTTTCACTGTGCATTTTGAATGATGGTTCAGACGAGTAAGAGCTTTTCCAGCATTAAAATAATTTCTGCTGTAGATTTTACACTCCTGACAGGGTGACTACATCCAGGCTGATATGCTGCAAAAATAATAAAATAACAACTTTCACCACCCAGAAACAGGCAAATATGTATCAACTGAAGCAGTAAATGTCTGAAAGGGTTTTCTTAACACTGCTTTTGTAACTCTGGGGCAGGATATCAATATTAGCTGCAAGAGAAAGGCTGCCTGCACACTGCATTCAGATCTTGAGCACACAAGAGGTACGTAAACCAGTGAGAGTACAGAAGTCAGAGTTTTGTGAATACAACAATTTTTTAAACTGGGTTGTATGTTGGAGTTGCAAGCAGGGAAGAACAAGACATTTATTGTGCACATATTTTAAGTTCACAAGGGTGGTGGATCTCAAGCAATCCCCCAGATGAGGATTCTGTTCTTTTTGTGTCCTCAACCCGCTGCTGGCTGCCTCCCTCTCTCAATCCACGGGCTTCACAATGGAGCACGGAGCGGTGCTCTTTGCTGGGACACTGCACTGTGCCACCAGGAAAAGCAGCAGCTCTCCAGCTGCTCCCTACACGGGCTGGGGAAGCAGAGCATCCCTGCATGGGGCAGCAGGACAGAAGCAGAGCTTTGAGCTGCACACCATGTGCATTGCAGCGCCTGCTCTTCCACTTCTACCTCACATAGCCCGTAAAGTAACAGAGCAAACCTGAGCTGCTGAACTGGCCGGTGCCAGGGTGACACCACGGCCTCTCAAGCCTCTTGTGGAATATTTATCACCAAGATTTTCTGGCAGGCAGAGTAACCAGGGTACAGGCTGAGGTGGCACCCCACTTGGTAATTGCACAGGCTGTAAACTCACACTGGAGACTTCCTCAGGACAACTGCGTCCTATGCCCAGGAAGCTGGAGGTGGAATTAACATTGCAAGCTTAAATCTACAATAAAACTCATCAGTGAATGCAGAATTATCACTCTCTCTCAGCAGGCAAGGGCCTCCTCCACACAGCTCAGCTTGGCACAAGCCCATCCTGCACCTGGTGCTCCACAAGGGACCTGTTGTGGATGTGCCAGGCTGGCCCTGGGTGAGCCACACCTCACAGAGGCAGGAATTCCTCCTGCCCTGCTCACACAATGCTTGCAGACACCTCAAAGACTCTGTGAGCAGTATTTGAGCAGCTTGGCAACTGCATCTTTGGTAGCTTCTACAGTGCAAGTTTTACCTGTAAAAATGCTTGTCCCACACTGGAAAAATATGTAAATAACATCACTCCATAGCTTTAATAAAATTAAATGTATTTTTGTATTTATAGTTAATAAAGCATGTGAAATGCTAAATGTAACTGTACCCATGTACAATACACTAACTCACAGCTTTCTATAGCAACACATATGCTGTTGGACTCATCAAGCAATTTCTATAGGGGCAGGGTGATTAATTTCAATCCATACTTCTAAACACGTGTCTCAGAGCATTAATGTATACTTTAATTACTGTGCTAAGCAGATGAGCACATAATAGCAGCTATCATTTCAGAACTTTACAGATGTGGTTCACTATTTGAAAAAAACCCTCTTAGATGAACATTTGCTTTACAAAAGCAGCAGACTCTTGATCTTATAGATCTTGCTTTATTTTAAAATCAAATCACAATTTCATGATACTCAGTATTGTTCTTAAAGCCTTGGATTCTGCAGTTATGCAATTACATGACACCTAACAATTTTTAAGACTAAGTATATCTCTAACTGTTGTGTTTTATGCTTAAAACCTGTATCTCAGCAGCTCAAAAACCACCCTGCAGAGAAACTCTACAGTGCTCTAACATCTTCTAGCATTTAAACTATGGCATGATTTTCAAATCCAAGCTAATATTTTTCTACATTAATACCTGAAATTAGTAACGCCACACTATTAACCCAGAAATCTGCTGTGAAGGCCAAGGCCAGCCAACAGCATCAGCTCGTGGCACTGCCTCCAGCAGATGGTCAGCAGAAACACCCACACCCCTTAAAGGGGCTGGACAAGGGTGATGTGGCTCACAGGGAGCCACTCTGCCTGTCCTGGTGCCAGCATCCCATGGGACAGCATGGGTTAGCCCCAGCACTGTCCTGAGAGGCTCCTGTGCCACTCCTCAGCCTGCTGAGCAATGCTGCAGTGTAGGCAGAATGACAGGGATCCCCATGATGGCCATCAGCCCCGTGAGAAGGGGCTAAGGGACTTGAGCAGGCTTTGGTGACAGTCCCTCCACACCCAACAGGAGGCTAGGAGAAGTCAGAGCCAGGTTATTCACAGTGGGGTGTGGTGGGAGAACAAGGGACAACAGACAGAATCTGAAATACAAAAAGTTCAGGTTAGAAACAATGGAAAACCCTTCTGCCATGAAGTCAGGCAAGCAGTGGAAGGGGCTGCACAGAAAGGATGTGCAGAATCCATACTCAGAGGCTTTCATGACCTAACTGAACAAAACCTTGAACCACCTGGTCTCAGCTGGCCAAGCTTTGAGCAGGAGGCTGGACTAGATGGCTCCCAAGGTCCTTCCACTCTGAATGATGAGCCTATGACTGCTGACCACTGCTGCCTAACTGGAATGTTCTCTGGAGCTCATCTCTTCTAAAAAAATTTTACTTGCTCTGTTCACTTTTCAGACACCCTTACTCTTGACACCCCTCAGGCCCTGGAAAAGTGTCTTATCTGACACTTGTGGGACTTTTTTTCCCTCTGAGAGCCAAGAGCTTCAGACAATTGAACTCCAAAATATTTCAGGAGATACTCTACAGCTCATAGGTTGGTTTTGGACTTTATTGTTCTATAGAATAAGTAACAACACACACACATACACGGAGCATTTAACATGCACAACAGAGGAATGAAATACCTGTTAATTTTTTCCTCATCATGAACAAAATCCAATTTAGTTTAGGACATTTTTCCCTTATCTTTTAAAACATACAATTCCGTATCTCACCTTGACATATCTTTTCTCACTGAGGTCAAAACTACTGCTGAAATTGCTGGTATAAATGTATTTCGATTACTTTCCTCCTGCATATGTTCTACATTTTCAGCTCCCCAAGCACAGTGCAGAGATCAGGAAGAGCCCTATGGCAGCTTCCATCAGAACAGAAACCCAGAAGCCACTGGCAGCCTGGCCCATGAAGCAGATTTCCACACATGGACCTGTTTTGATGGCTACTGGAATGCTGAGCATAACACCACCAATACAACCACACACAAGGGAGCTAAGAAGCAGCAGTGTTGAGCTACCTAGAACCCAAATTATATGACATTTGAAAATGCTCCTTAGACTCCTACATGAGGTCCTGGGGACATTTTGGTACACAGACTTTACAGCTCAAGTCTGAAAATAGGACAGAAGGAACTCACTGAAACAAGTATTACAAGTAGTTTGAAATACACAGCTATAACAGGGGACCCCAAAGCAACTCACACACACACTTAGCACAAACCTACCATACTGTTATTAGAAGACCACCTGCCTAAAGCAACTGCTTTAGCTCCTGGAATGCTTCTGCTTAATTTCTTTGTCTTGTCCAGCTGGGCCCTAACTCCATTTTGCCAATGTGTATAACTTCCCCTTAGAAAATATCAAATGGACAAATCAGGTTCCTCTGGAACCAAGATATTACTGAGCTCCATAAGCTATTAAGGGGTTTCAAATTATGGCAAACAAATCCCTCAAGGCTCACTTAGAAAAAAATATAAAAACACAGGTCTAAGCTTGCCAGACTGTCTGCCTCTCACATTCACACAAACCCGCCTCAGAAGAAAAAAAAAAAATCTTTATTATGTATGAGGTACAGACCATCTGCGATGGGCTTTGAGAGCCAACTTAAAAGTGGGGGGGAGGAGAGTGTTCCCAACTGCATTCACAGTCAGTGAAGAGCTTGAGACTCAGCAGCTGTCTGTGAGCAGGGAAGAGGTGGTGGGTCAGGATGAATGAGGCTGCACAAGACCTGCCAGGGTCAAGGATGGAAAGGCACATTGTTACACACAAAACTGTGTAGAAGCATATGGAGAACAGCAGCAAGAGCCAAGAAAACCTCGTGGAGACACTAAGACAGTCCTATAAACAAGGTACTCTAGAAATGCTGCTTCCCTGTCACTGCAGAAAAGTAAGGGATGATAATATTATTATGTGGCTGTAATACAGACCACTGAATGCCTCGTGCCATGGGAAGTAAGAATGGTAACAGCAGTAAACTGGTAGCAGCAAAGAATGTGGGAAGGCTTTCTTTTTTACCCTTTCCTTTTTACCCTTTCTTTTAGAGAATTATACACATCTTTCCGTATCAGTCCTCAAAATTTTTGTAATTATTTTGACACCTCTTTTCACTACTCCACTACACATATCTGTATTAGCCATTTACTGTTATGCATACCATACAGCTCAATAATGTTTCATTTCTGAAAAGGAGAAAAAATACTTTTAAAAAATTTTAACCACCGAAACTAGAGTTAGATTCAACCCTCCCTGCCCAAAAACCCCCAAATCCCGTGAGAACATTTTTTAACATCTAGCAGATTGTACAAACACCTTTGTGTGTTTGCAGCTCAACAAACAGGATAGTTCCTCTGGCTGCAAATGAACTGTGACCAGGTTAATATGAGTAAACCCTTACAAGTGACTGTTGCTGATTCTGTCAGGAAGCAAATCTATTTACATCTCTACTCAAGCCAAAATCACCACAAGTATTTGTCCTTTTTCATAAAATTTTGCAGGCTAAAAATTAAACCCTGGCTGGCTAAAACTCACTCATGCCTGTGGGGCCAGGCTGTCACCTGGACCGTGAGTGTGTGCATGGGCTGATCCTGTGAAAACTTACCAGCTGTGGAAGAGGCACTGGTGAATCTCGCCATCACTATTCCCTTTTCCCAGTGGTCTGCTGCAGCTGGCTGCTGGAGATGAGGGCTCTCCATGCTGAATCCACGGGCTCAGACCTCCGGCAGCAGCAGTGAGCCGTGCCCCTCCAAGGGCCGGAGCAGGACCTGCGGGTTTGCAACGAGGCAGCTCAGGTGCGGGTTCTGCTGAGGAAGCACTAATCCCCAGGGAAAGGGTGGGGTGGGGAGGGGAGTTTGGGGCAGTAGCAACTCCAAGCAGCTTCCAGGAAGCTTGCCAGAGCCCCAGGCCTGCTCCTGCCCACAGCCCCCCATGCCAGGCCCTTCGGCAACACCCGCACCTGCTCAGGAGACCGAGGCCTGGTGAGAACAGGCACCGTCCAAACGGGTACAGGGACATCACTCTCACTTTGCTCAAGCACTACAAAGACCAGAAGAAACAGTGCAGGAGTGCTGGGCTCAAATTTGCTCACTTATTTAAAATAAGGTCAATATCAAAAAAAATTTTGCCAATATCTGTAGAAAATTTACTGGCTGTGCCTCTGCAACTCCACGCTGGTCTGCATACACTAAGCATCAATTCAGATGAGCCCTTGCTTTGAGAATGCCTTTTTACCCACCTATCTAGGAATATGGTTATGCCGAAGCAGGGAATGTTAAGTTGTTTCCCAGACTGTTCCTGAATCCAACTGCAACCTGTTTATTTTGACCTCAGTTCTTAGAAACTGTTGATGCCACGGTAGAAATATGCTGTGTGTTCCAACAGGCAACAAACAGTCCTAATGAGAGCACACTCCATCTGTGCTGCCAGTGCACACAGCCTCAGCCTATAGCTCGGATACGCTGGAGCTCGGCGTGCAGGGACGAGCTCGTGCTGCAAGGGATGTCCTGGCACAGCAGAGCTCCCCGAAACAGGCCTCTGGGAGAGTCCCGAGGCAGCCAGGGTAGGCACCAGCAGCACTCGAGCTCTCCCCTCCCCGCTCTGAGTTTGCAGAGTACAAGCGCTTACGTTTTTTAAAACGTTCCAAAACTACAAAGTAAAGAAAGCTGACTTGAAAACTGCCCAGTGCTCTCAAAAGGTAGGAGTTAAAGCGTGCAGAACATATGGCACTATTTACAGCCAAGGGAATTTTCCATCAGCCTCGTACTCTGCAAAAGGTACATTACAGAAAAATGCATGTGGGGATCCTTTAATTTCTCTTGCATCTTCCCTTATAAGATGCAGCTGGGGAGCAACACCCACTGGTATTGGTAGCATGAAACGGCGATCCTTTCCTGTTACCGAGGTCTGGTACAAATTACCGTGGATTTAGAGGCACTATATAAAAGACAGTGCTGATTTGTTTCTAAATTTGTATCTTGATTAAACTGTCAGGCTATAGCACAAATGCAGAGCTCACCTGACTTTAAAATCCTACAACAATAAATTATCCAAGAAGTGCAGTACAATTTGAAAATGCTTAGAAATGGATCAATACTATGCTTTATGTTTAGATTTTACATCTCAGTCATGCCAAATCAAATGGAATAGAAGCAGCACTTTACATTCAAACTGTAAACTCGGTGTGCTCCAAATAAAACTGTATGGGAGGGGAGACTGTGAAGCAGAATTTTAAAAACCACCAAGCTGGCCAACAGAATAACAACTGCATTATTATTTTCAGAATTATTTTTGACTGTGTTGTGGTAAACACACACATAAAAAAAAAAAGGGCCAAAACTCCTATTCTCAGGAACTTGCATGCAAACTTGCATGGGTCAGATCAGTGTTCTTCAGCATTCATTCATGTAAATTGAGCAGAATTTGGTCTCATCTGTTAAAGCAAAGTCATTTACTCCAGAAGAGCTTCAATGATACTGAATGTATTTTAACTATCCAGAATCTCAACATCCAGGATTAGTGCTGCAAACACACATAGGCATTGCGGTCTAATGAAAGAAAAAGTCAACACAAATATGGTGCAGTAAAAGTGAGATCAGCCATGCAGAACTTCCAAAAAGTAGCTTAGGAATTAAACTACTATTATTAAAGCTACTGTTATTGAACTGTGTTAGAGCTTTCACAGTTTATTGGGCCATTCTGCATAATGCAAATATTATAAAACAGAGCAGATCAGTTTTCCATCATGATTACAAGCCACTGCTGTACCTAAAGCTTTTGCTTTTTTAACTGATGTTCTTGTATGTTTGAACACAATTTTTCTACTTGCTTTTACAGGGTATCCATGTAAGAAAAGAGCTATTCTAAATTAATTAATCAACACACACCCTTCCAAAGAGGGAATATATGATAAAAGCATTACATAGTGAAATTCAGGCATATTTTTATACTCTCAAAAGAGGGTAATTGATCCTCCCCTCTCCCCAGTTTCAAATGTGGAACTTGGCTGCTATGGATTCTTTCCCACACAAATCAAGCCCTAGCTCTTTTGAATTGAAACAATATGGGATGATTATTGTGGGAAATTTTTTACTGTTACTGTAATTTAAAACTTTCTGTACCTAATTTTGCATTTTCTATAAATCAAAAACCCATTTCACTTAGGGCTACAATTAAACAGAGGAAATCAAAGACTAACTTCTAAGCAAGTCTTGCTATTAATCATAGGACAAACTAGTAGTACAACTACTTTTACTGCAGCTCCTTTCTGCCTGGGAACTACATTTTCATCTGAAGCTCGAGTTCTTCAGAGCAGTCTGTGCCACAGATGAGACAAATTAAATAGAGGTACAGTGGATGGGAGAGCACCATGTGCTGCTGAAGATGAGCCTGCCCAGCAGCCCAGCACAGGGTCACTGCAGAGACAACTACTCAGGGTCTGACGCTGCCATTCCAGAAGCTACCAGGCTTCTTCCTTCACCAGGAGCAGCCACGGAGTCACGGCTGTTGCTTTACACATCTGAACTGAAATCAGCATCTTTCTCCTTTTAAAAGACAAATTTACAAAAGCAGTGGATTTCAACACTGAAGTTTGTATTGAAAACTGGACACGTGAACACAAAATTAAAATTGGAGTGCAAAATGAAACCGTGTGGAATATGGAAACATAGGTCTTCTGTTTGTTCAAACTGAAAATCAGATGATGTATTTTTATTTTCTAAAAATAAAAAAATGCATATTGATCGCTAGACAAAATAAAACATGAATTCTCAAATCAACAGAAACATATTTCACCCAGCTGTCTTTATTTTTTTTTCTCTGTCTCTGTTTCTCAAAGAAAAATTTTTATGTTATTTCTTTATTTTCATGTATTTTAGGGAGAGGTTTAATGTCTCATGGTGTTAGTCTTTGCAAAACTCCTACAGAGGTACAAGTCATACAAGTCATCACATTATCTACAGCAGTATATCTACAATAAGAATAAGTGATACTAGTAAGTTATTCATAAAATATATGCTCAAAAGAAAAATTGGCTTCCAGCTAAATAGTCCCCAATGTGTATATTCCATGCTAAAGAGGAGCCTTTTACCGATTGCAAAATAAAATTCAAATGTATCCTATAAAAAATTCCACTTTTTAAAATCAGACACAAAGAAAACAGCTGTGAGGAGTTTGAGGAGTTATTGGAAGGGCTTCTTACACAAACAAAACCAAACCTTCCCAACACTGACTTACGACTCTAATACCGTGATTCAACAAAACCTGAATGGAAATGGTTTCACCTCTGAACAGACCTAGATTTCAAAAGTAAATGACTTACTGAGGCTATAGATTGAAACATTGTTTTACCATTGATTTTCTTCCTAACTAAGATCTCTCACGTCCTTGCAACTCTCATTATCTCTGACAATGAGCTCCTTTTGCAGCAATTGACACATCTGTTTCTCAAAAAGTGCACTGAAACCATGTCAGTGGCTGTGGCACCAGGAGCTCCTGGCTGCTGAAACCTGCTCATCTCTTTGAGCACACCTTTCACTGAGGAACAGGGAGCTTCTTCTGCCCATCAGTCAAAGGCAGGCACCCACCACACAGGAGGTGCACGAGCAAAACAATGCCTGCAAACACAGCTTTGCCTACCAGGAATGCTGGAAAGACTGGATGTCAATTGACCTAAAGGGTGAAGAAAGAAAGAGTGGGGACAACCCAAAAAATCCAACATAGAAGTTTGGAAGGCTCGTGCAAAGAGCATGAGAAAAGCCCAGAGCACTCACTTCATGTAGATAGCTACAAACCCTGCCCAACTCCACAGTCCAGACTGGAACATGTACACCTCCTCTTTTTCTGTTTAGTTTTATCACATTAATTTCTCCCATTTGATCTCAACTGATACTGCAAACAAGGGAGGGGAGTTGCCTGCCCCAGCCAGCTTGCACACCCCTGGTGCTCAGGACATCCATATGCAGCTGGGCCTGGAAGTGGAAATGAGAGTCCAGGACCACTCGCTAACAAAAGCACTCCTGAGCCAGCTGGAGACACCAAAATAAACACCAGCACCACAACTTAGGGGCCCAGCAGCACTCACCCACAGATTTTCAGAGCCATTAATAATCAGACTATAAAGCTGCCAAAGTGGGCAGAGGAATACTAGGAGAGAAGTCTGGCTGCAGGACTGCTGTATTCCTACCTTTGGTTCAAAGCACTGGTTTGCCAGCCAGCACCAAATGACTGAGGATGAGAAGAGAGGAGATGTGCTGGAGAGGTGGAGAGGACATGGAAAGAGGACACAGAGAGTCCTACAGGTGGGTGCACAGGTCAGTCCTATGCATAAGCACCTGCAGGACTTGGTTTTCACAGGCACATTTATTAAAAATGCAGGGAAAAACTAAACCCAAACAGCCTTTCTGGAATTTCTGAAACACCCTGGCCTGCTGGAGCTGTCCACACGGTGGAAGCAGCGTGGCTCTGCGCACTCAGCTGCTCCTTGCTGAGCACCCCACGTGTGTCTGGGGCACTCCAGGGTGGCCACGCTCCTGGGGAATGGACACTGGACACAGAGTGACCCAGACATGTGCTGCTCCAGCCACTGCAGAGCCACCAAACCTGCCTCCTGCCTCCCAGAAGCCAAGCTCCTAGTGCAAACAGAGGAGAGGCTGCTGCAAAAAGAAAGGAATCCTAAACTCAATTACATTTAGGCAAGCAGTAGGATAAAAAGAATAGAATTGTCAGAGAGAAAAAAAAAATCCAGCAAACAAAACCTGTAAAATATGCT